ATTTAGAATAAAAAACAATTCCACCCCCCAACCGACCTTGCGGGGGCTACTGGAGGGAGCCTTGTTCCTCGCTTCCTGCCTTGACCTCGGGGTGCGTGGCGCCCGCTCCTGTGCGGCCTGGCTCCCATGGGTCTGGCGAAGGGAAGTCCTCTGTGTACACAGCTACTACGTGGGTGTGTAAAGTCTTTGGAGGGGTAGCCGCGTTAGTCGGGATCTGCGAAAGCGGCGAGGAGTCCTGTGGCACCTGATAGTGTGGGCACCCGCGGAAGCTTATGCGCCTACACTTCAGTTAGTCTATAAGGTGCCACGGGACTCCTCGCCGCTTTAAAAGATCCCCAAATACTTTAAAACACCTGGTAAGATATGCTTGCCTACTTGTTTTCATCACTCTCACCTTAAACTTCCCTATACCATTTTATGTTGTAGTCCTTCTTGCATCCTGTCTTAAGCCTTGTCTGTAAGTAACTGGAGATTAATGCTCCAGAGATTGATTTTCTGAGGTTCCATTTAGCAGGTCAAACAGGTACCCACTAAATTGACTGCTGATGGTGCCCCCATCAACGCCGCGGGGTTGCTAGGAATAAGGGAAATCGACAGAAGAGTTTCTCCTGCAGTGGGGACGGTGTAAAAATTCAGCTTAAGGTACACTGACTCATAACTACACTGTTCTCATCGCTGGAGTTGTGTACCTTAAGTTGACTTTCTTCCCCAGTGTAGACCTGACCTTAATATAGCCCCTGATTTGAAAGCTTTGCCTTGGGGGCTTTAGCAGCTCATGGAGCAACTTGCAGGATCAGGGCCCCTGACTTCAGAATAGGGATTGGTTTGCAGTGTGCGCAGTATGATGGGGTCTATTTGGGGTCACTGAATGCTAATGTCTGGCAAATAATATATTAAAACATAAAGTAGATAGTAACGGTTCTTCCCCCGTAAGGACATTGGATTGCTTTCCCCTTGCAAAACACTGTGGCTAACTTGTAGAAAATTTGTAAGAGCCGTGCAAACTTTACACAACTTAATTATCAGTTAACACCTACCTGTGCCATAGCTACTGAATAAAGGTTATAGTACCTTTAGTTACCTGAAGCAGGCTCATGCCCCCCAATGTCAGTTAATACATTGAGACGTTCCCTTGCTGTGGTGCACAGAGGAGCTGGATAATCGAGTCTTTACTGTATTTACAAGTCAGGTAATAGTTGGAATTACAATAGAGCTTTGTATTGAGTGTGCTTGGGCTGAATCGCTATAACATTCCCAGTTCATTAGACCCTTGCTGGAAGTCAGCTTTTTCCATTGCCTCCCATGAGTTTGGATCAGGACCTGAGGCCTGTCATTTCACTGCATTTCTACATGATGTGCTAAAAATTCTCACATGCTAAAAGCAAAACGTGTAAGCCTTTGCACAATCGCATGCATAACCTCTTAAGCTTTGATCCTGTGGTGAGCCCTCAGTGGGTGCTTTCCAGTGTTCTCAGGAAGCCCTACTCTCGGTATCAAAGGTTTTATATGACTGCCATCACCCTATTATTTTGGTGCCTCACAACCTCGTACCTCCCTGGGAGGCAGAGAAGTATAATTACCCCATTTTATAGCTGGGGAGCTGAAGCACAGAGACATTAAAGAGCACACACGGGTAGGCTGGGCCGGGCCAGAGCCAGGAATGGAAGCTGGGCTTCTGAAGTCCTGTACAGGGCCTATTGTGAGTTGTGCATGTGTAACAAGAAGCATTGCAGATTCTAAAAATCAGGGATTATGCGCGATCATTTCAAACTGTAGAAGGACTTGAACACTTGCCTATTTTGCTTTTGGTGTCATTCCTTTGCAACCCAGCTAGCATCTACCCAGCATCATTGCCTAGGATTAAGTTTCTATCATTTAGCATTTTGACAGAATTCAAAGCTATGTGTTTGATACTTTCATACTCAGCTGCATCACAGTACCTTTACATTAAAACAAGAATAGATGGAACAAATGCAACATTTGTAAAAGGCAAACTCCAGCTTTTGCCCACTTGCAACCTGGGTGGGTCTTTTTGTGTGCAACATATTAATACTGGTTTGCTTGTGCTCCCCTGTCTAACTCTACTTGTTCTGTCTTATATTTACTTTGTCAGCTCTTCTGGGTTTGTATAGTGCCTAGCTGTTACCATAATGCACCTAATAGCAATTCAGATGCACACCCTGTGGCACAATGGGGTCCTGCTCCATCATTAGGGCTCCTGGGAGCTACTGTAATACACATAATAGTTACTCAGTAGATTTTAATTCACACTTTTGGCTTAGTTGACAGAATAGGAGTCTATAGCATTTGGCAGATGTTCTTTTTTGCCATGTTTCATCTTCCATTAGGCACAGGTCTCAGATCTGATGTTTCTGGAATGCAGGCCCTGTGATTCTCTAGCTGCCCAAGGTTGCTCCATGCCTCAGTTTCCCATCTGTAAAATGGGGATGTTGATATTTCCCTACCTTCTTGGGATTTTGTGTGTGTGGGGGGGGGGGGGAATCCATTGATATTTGTAAGGAGCTTGGATACTCCAGTGTTGGAAGTATTATAAATACCCACAGCTGGTAGATCTTGAGTAAATCCTGAATGTACCTCCCCAATCCTGACTCCTGCACCCCCTACACTCCCAGGTCCCTGCCCTGAGCTCCTTCTTAAGGTCCCAAGGAATGCTGGATAAATGTGTTAGTCCAGTGTTTCTCAACACTTTTTATAGTACCCCCTTTAAAAAAAGAATCATAAATACCCCCAGTACCTACGGTTTTCAGACACACACAATTTTTTTTCTACCATTGCAACACATTTGTTTAAAGAACTTAATCATAGCTGGGCGGGCGATGAAATTTTTGGGTGTAAAAAGTACAAAGATAATAAAGCGCTGTAAAACTTAAAACGAAAATTCAGTTTTCTCCCAATTTCAGTTGTGTTGACATACCCTCCAGACTTCTCTCAAGTACCCCTAAGTGTACTCATAGCACTGGTTGAGAAACACTGTGCTAGTAGATTAAAAAACAGGAATAAGGGGTGCCTTGCAGAGGTAATAGGGTGGATTCATTGATGCATAAACAGAGCTCTGAGCTCTCTGGTTGGAAGGCGCAGAAGTAAGGGTGAAGTCCGTTTAAGACCCCCTCTTTGAGACGTCCCCTGTTCTTGTAGGTATTTCTCCAGAGGAAATTCTGGCCCCTTAGAATCTTGGAGCCCCACGAAGATGTCGGATAGCGAAGACAGCAACTTCTCCGAGGATGAGAGCGAGCGGAGTAGTGAGGCGGAGGAGGTAGAGGAGAACGAGGTGAGGCTGAAGGAAAGGAATGTAGCTTTGAGGGTGGAGGGGGCACTTGTACCCACTTGAAATGTAGCGTGTCCCGCATGTTACTCTCATCTGACATGGGACTGGCGTTGGCTGTGTAACTGATCAGCTCCCCTCGGCAATGCCAGGCAGAGGAGGAGCATGCCAGTGTCGGAGGCAGTGAAAAGGAAGAGGCTGAAGAGGAGGAGGAGGAGGAGGAGGAAGAATACGATGAAGAGGAAGAGGAGGATGATGATGACCGGCCGCCAAAGAAGCCCAGGCATGGAGGGTTCATCTTGGATGAGGCCGGTGAGGAACTTCAAGGGCTATGGGTGTGTGCTACATAGAGGCCCCCAGGGACCTAATGGTGGGGCAGCTGCCCTTCCTGCAGTGTGATTGATAGAAACAGGGGGAGCTAGGAGTCAAGGCTTCTGGTTAGCAGTACAGATACCTTCCCTGTATCTTCTGTCAAGCCCCTTGAATCCCATTGCCCAGGCCATGGCTGCTGTGGACCAGATCTCTTGTCTGCTTGTGCATTGCCCACAGGGATTCCTCAGACACCAAGGGCTTCAGGAATTTGGGTCCAATTTCTCTCTGCCATCTATCCTGTGAGCCAGTGATCATAGAGCGCAGCCGTGGCCAGCTTGTGGCTCTCTCCCCCTTCCCCCTGAAAGTGCGGCTCATGAAGCCGCCTCTGCACCCCTGAAAATGGTTCCCTGTGTTCACTGGGGTAGGGGAGCCGTCCGGTGTGGCCATTCAAAATGGCATTTTCAAGATGGCGGGAGCCTTAACCGTGTCTCTTAAAGGGGCAGTCCTTTTTTTCCCTCAACTGAACACGGCAGCTGGGGGCTTTTTTTTAGGCGCAGCCCCGCCCCCGGCTCCTTGTGCTATATGAACAACTATTTTGGCTCTTTGCCTGTAATGGGTTGACCACCCTGATAGAGCAGCTTAGGTTTCCTTCAGGCAGATTCTGGGTCATGCTTTCCCCTGCCACATCTCTGGTTAGCTGTTGCCTGGATTCCACTTACCTGAGGAAGTCTCCTCTCTGTCTTTCATGCAGATGTGGACGATGAATATGAAGACGAGGACCAGTGGGAGGATGGCGCGGAGGATATTCTGGAGAAAGGTAAGGCAGTGTCTCCCATATCCCACTCTTTGTGAGGATCAGCTGGGGATATGGCACAGCCCTGGGGCATTTGCTCTCAGCTAGCTCCAGAGAGACAGTGCTGTGACCTGGGGAGATTGGGGTAGCTAAAGAGTACACTCCTGTGCAAAGCAGGATGGGATGTTAGCAGGGCTTTCCAGGGGTGATGTTCCCAGGCCGCTCCATGGTTCCCCAACTGAGCACTTTATGGCCATCTCCAGCTCAGATTTAGCAGCCAGAATCTCTCCATCTCAAGTTGAGGGGAATGGTGTGTTTCCCATGGGGAGCAGGGCATGGCTGCTGCTTAGCTGCCAATCTGTCCCCTCTTGAGTTGGATTCTTAATACTGTGTGGTGAGAGGGACCAGGCCTCAGTGCAGGGAGGTTTGGGGATGGGGTATCACAGCACGTCCTGTCTGTATTTCCCAACCCCAGTGCCATGTGTTGAGTCCTGACGTTGCTTTGCTCCCTGTTGTTTCCCTTCTGTGCATGCCATCCCCTCAGCTAGCGGTAGAGAACACACTTTCACTCCTTTTCAGTCGCTTTTGCTGAGGAAGAGCTGTTGGCCCCATACAGAGGGTGTTGGGAACCCTGGCATGCAGCACCCTGTAAACCAGTTGCTGCAGCCAGCAGAAGAGGAGCCTTCAAATCCCCAGCTTTTTATCAGTCGCTTAAAGGCTGCTCTGCTGCCTGGTTCCTGACATGGCCTCTTGCCCCCAGAGGGGAAATCCTCCCACTCTGCTGCCTTTCCAAGGGTATGTCTACACTAGCCACCCTAGTTCGAGCTAAGGTGGCTAATGTAGTCATTCGAACTTGCAAATGAAGCCCAGGATTAAAATATCCCGGGCTTTATTTGCATGTTCCTGGGCGCCGCCATTTTTAAATGCCCGGTAGTTCAAACTACCTGCCCGTGGCTACACGCGGCATGGGCTAGGTAATTCGAATTAGGAGCTTTAATTTGAACTACCTAGCTCGTGCCGCGTGTAGCCATGGGCAGGTAGTTTGAACTACCGAGCATTTAAAAATGACGGCGCCCGGGAACATGCAAATAAAGCCTGGGATACTTTAATCCCGGGCTTCATTTGCAAGTTTGAATGACTACATCCTGGCCGCCGCCATTTTTAAATGCCCGGTAGTTCAAACTACCTGCCCGTGGCTACACGCGGCATGGGCTAGGTAATTCGAATTAGGAGCTTTAATTTGAACTACCTAGCTCGTGCCGCGTGTAGCCATGGGCAGGTAGTTTGAACTACCGAGCATTTAAAAATGACGGCGCCCGGGAACATGCAAATAAAGCCTGGGATACTTTAATCCCGGGCTTCATTTGCAAGTTTGAATGACTACATTAGCCACCTTAGTTCGAACTAGGGTGGCAGTGTAGACATACCCCAAGAGACTGGGTGGTCTAGTGGTTATAGAGTTAGGACTCCTGTCTTGTAGCCCTAGCTCTGGGAGGGGTGTGGGCAGGGGGCTGGGACCAGGACCTCCTAGGTTATATTCTCAGCCTTATCACTGAGTTATGTCAGTAAATCACGTCCCCACCCTGTGCCTCAGTTTCTCCTCACTTAAAATAGCAGGGACTTGAATCTTCCTCTGTACTGCGTGTTGATGATGCTCAGGCCATCAAAATGTGGCATTACGTGGGTTCCAGCTCTCTATTAGCGCCAGGAGTGGGCCCTGCTCACACTCCCTGGGGCACAAGGCGGCCAGCAACCAGCTCCCTAGTTTGCCTGCGAAGATCGTTGCCAGAATTGTACTCGTGATGCGGGGGCGGGGGCAGTGTGGGCTTTGGGTAAGAGATGCTGTTGCGGTAGCAGCCCTAGCACTTCCCAGAAGAGGCATTAACCCCGCAGCAGCGATGTCCCTATTTATAGCCCTGAGACCCACCAGTGCTCCGGCCTGGCCAGAGGTGGAGAGTTACCAGAAAAGGGGCTGCTCCCTGCATCTGCTTCCTGTGTACTGAGAATCCCCTCTACTGAACCTAGGGACAAAAAGAAATGTTGGCTACCGCTTGCTTCTGCCTGCCCTAGAGACCCCAGCACAGCTCCGGGAGAGCCGGTGTCAAGTTTGGCCTCACCTATCGTCAGAATGCTCCATAGCCAATTTGTAATTGCAGAGCCAAATTCTGCTCCCAATTCCACAGCAGCCAGGGAGGTTGCATAAATGGGATCGATTACAGAATTTTTATCGTCTGGTCAGGCACCATCTTTTTGTTCTTTGTGCAGCACCTGGCACAACGGGGCTTCTAAACCCTTCCTTAATATGCCTAATGGCCGTACAAATATTTCATGCCCTGCACAACAGCTTTTTTGAGCTGGGACCGAGGCTCCAAGGCATTACAGTGATACAAGCAATTCGTAATAGTGCAGGAGCTAAGAAGCTTGTGGCTGGGGCCTGCAGGCCCTGTTCAGAGAAGAACGTTGCTCCAAATTGGGGCCGGATCAAAATCCAGAAAATGTGCAAACTTTGTCAAGCTACAAAGCGCCTGTTGCAATGAGCCAACATTCTTTTTTCCTGAAATTTCCTATGAAATGGTTTTGTTTTCGACATAGGAGCTTTCAGAAACGAATCCCCTGCCCCAGAGTTCTGGAGACATAACTCTTCTATGTGTTTAAGCATGAGATGTGAAAGGTTCTGGTTAACTGGTGGGGCTGCAGCAGCTCCCAGCTCACTGTGGGGAGGGGTCTGCTCCAGCCCCGTGGGGCCTGCTGTGGACAGGGACTGCTCTAGGCTTCTGGAGCTACTCCTGCCCATGGCAGGTCAGGTGCATCCCACACAGGGCTATTCCAGGTGTCTAGAGGTTAACCTAATGTTTAACTGGTTAATTGATTAACTGGGATTTTATAGGCCTAGTTGAAGGTGATCCGTCAGAGCTGGTCACTCAAAACCACTTTCAGGGGACTGACTGATGAGTTGATTCTTTTCTGGTCGAAATTTTTTGTCCCAAAAGTTTCCAGCCCAAAAGTCTTCAGGAGAGTGTGTGTAGGTGAAAGACTTTCATGACCATTTTTTAAAACTGGCCAAATTTCTATGAAAAAAACCAAACAAATGGTGTTTGCGACAATTTGAACTAGTTGAGTACTTTTATAGCTACATTTCTAGCTGAATGAAACAGTTTTGCTGCAGTATTGGTAGAATCCATGGCACGCCAAGAGCTGTAAAATGTTAGCTTTGAGCATGTGTGGGGGAGGGGGGGGCGGGGGCGGTGTTTCATGTCCTAAGAGATGCCAACTAGGGCTATGTGTGGAGATGGACAGGCCCTGATTTTGACGGTGACCCTGGGAGGGTTGTTCTCCCCGTGGAACCCTGCGGGGGCTGCTGATGGCTCTGCTTGTCTGCCTCTACTCTCAGGCTGGGCTGGTTCAGGTGGCATCTCCGCAAAGAGGCTTTTCCTCAAGGGCAGAGGGGATTCCAGTTTCAGTGGTAGCTGGTGCCAGGGAAGGGTGCCCGGTGAGGCAGCCCTGGGGTCTCTAGCTACGGAACAGGTTTGCCCTTGGACCTCAAAGTGTGTCAGCCTGGCCATGCAGGGACCCCTCTGGTGGGAGAGGGGAGGATCCAGGGCTTGGCCTGTCTGCTGAAGCTGGCAACAGGGGGACCAGCCACGAGGAGGAGGATTAAGTGAGGCACTTAAGTCCTGCTTCACCAAACTGTGGTGCCCCAGGCTGGATTCAAAGAGGCGCCCTAGTGGGGAGGATCCTGCCAGGGCAGGAGAGCCGCGCTCTGACTGGCCCCCCATTTGATGGTGGTGTTGAATGTGGGTTCGTTGCCTGCCTAGCGAGCTGAACGTGCTCATTGCTTTGCTGGCATCTGGCTGGTGAACAGTGATGCACATGGCCTGTCACAGTCAGGGCCACTGGCACCTCCTGGAGATCCTGACTGTAAAATGCCATCACAGCCGTGAGGTTTGACTTGTGGGGAGTCAGAGCCAACAGTCCATTCTATAGGTGTAAAAGCTGGAGCAGAGCCATGTCTAGTGGGAAGAGAACTGGGCTGGGCCTCAGTAGACTGAGGTTTTATTCCTGGCTCTGCTGGGTGTCCTTGGGCTAATTGTTTCCCCACTGTGCCTCAGTTTCCCCATCTGTAAAATGGGGGAAACCTTTGCAGCGTGCTTTGAGATCCGATGAGGGCTAGGGATTATCACCCACTTCCTGCATAGCCCAGGCCAGGAAATGCAATTCTCCACCCGCCCACCTTGCTAGTACTCTCCCCGTCTCCCCTTGTGTGTTGGTTTTTTTATTTATGTGCATTTCATTCACACCTGCTTGGTTTGTGCCACATCTTAATTTTGTTCCTTCCGGTTTTCTGTTCCCCATTCACCCTGTGGTTGGTTTTGATGCTATTATTTGGCTCATACTGTCCGCTCTCCACACCTCTGCCTCCTGAGCAGAAGAAATTGAAGGTAAGCCCGTTTTTCATTCCAGCCCCTGCCTCTTCACAGCCCTGCCCCCCCACCTTGCCCCTTCCCAGTGCCTCCTTTTCTTTCCCGCATCCTTGCAGCTGGGTGGGCTCCTCGAGCGAGGCTGCAGAAATAGCCGACCCTTGGCTCAGTTGCTGCTCTGGATGGTGCGGCAATGAGCAGGCTGGCGAGAGGGGAGAGGGGCAGTGGGTTTGCTGTCTCCTATAGTGATCACAGAAGCTGCCTCAGGTTGGCTCCGTTGCCCTATAGTGACAACAGCTGTTGACTCTTATCACCCTATAGTGGTATGAAAGTGACAGTAGCCACCCAGAGAGGCTCTGGTTCTAGCTGCAGCCTGACAGTGTGTCAGAGGAAGAGGTGGTGCATTGATGGATGAAACCTGGTGGAACTGAGCCAGGCCTAGCGTGTTTGCCGGGAGGGTCACATGGTCCATGATGCCTCTTCCAAACCTAGGTGTCCCGGCAGGTGCCCCATTCGCTGTCTTGCTCGTGCTGCAGCCACGAGGGAGCAGTTGGCGAAGTTGGCTGTTGTGTGCGGCTGAATTGGGCTTCCCACCATCCCGTCCCTTCCTGGGTCTCACCTTCGCTTCACTGATCAGCTGCCCTTTGGCCATGTTGCTGGCCATCTGCAGCGCTCTCTCCTCCCCCTGTGGTGCTAGGTGGGGGCTATTTAACCGCCGTGTCTCTTGCAGCCTCCAACATTGATAATGTGGTTCTGGATGAGGATCGCTCTGGAGCCCGGAGGCTGCAGAACCTTTGGAGGTGATGTTACCTTGTGCTGGGGGGGTGGGGTGCAGAGCAGTCGGAGACTGCCATATGCACATGGTGGTGACCAGTGTAAACAGCAGGGTGGGCAGTGGGACTTGGGACCTTCGCTTCTCAGCACCTGGCCACTCCCGTGAAGCTGGAAGACTCTGCTGGCTGTGGCGGTATCAGGGCTTGCCACGAGCGGGAGCCCTAAAAGCCCAAAGTAGGTCTGAGGGTGCCCAGCTGAGAGCAGCAGTGGTGGGCCAATGCTGTCGTCAGCCGGGATGCTTTGCTCCCCCTGCCCGTGCTGGGGAGATTCGGCTGTATCCTCCAGCAGCCTCAGCTCCACCAACAGCCATGGCCCTGGTGCAGCCCCCTCCGTGATGCCTTCCTCTGCGAGATGGTGTGGGGGAAAGGAGCCCGAGTCGTTCCCCTTGTGTCTGTGAGCTCATCGCCCCAGCGGAACGCCTGGGGCTGGCTGCACTGCTGGCGGGGCCACGTCGCTCCAATCCGACTGCTCACCCTCTTTGCTGTCTCTCTGCAGGGACCAGCGGGAGGAGGAGCTGGGCGAGTATTACATGAAGAAATACGCCAAGTCCTCGGTGGGAGAGACGTGAGTGTGTGTGGGGGTCATCTCTCTTGCATCATGCCCCAGAATCCTCCAGACTAGGCCTGCCCATGCTCCTCCAATCACCTGGCTCCTGCTCCATCCCTTTGGGTCTCTCTTACCTATCACCATGGGAAAAGTAGGTCTTTAATTCCCTGATCTCCACAGGAGAGCTGGCTTCTTCCCAACCCCAGTTCTCATCGGCCTGGAAGCCAACTTCTTTCCCTGCCCTAGGCCTTGCAGCCTGGAACGGATTCGAGCAAAGTGCTGCATGGATCCCTTGGGAACAACAGGATCCTCTCCATCTCCTTCAGGGCCTCAGGGTGTTTAGAGATGAGCCCTGCGAAGGCTCTGCCTATTCCGGAGTGTAACTGACCTGGCCAGTGCTTTGGCTGGCATGGCTCTGTGGGATGGGGCTGGTATCCCGAATGTAGCCCAGTGCTGGCTGGTTCGAGTGTCCATTTCCCTAGCTTGGTTCTGAATGGGTGCAGAGAATTCCCCGCCTCCCAGGTGTGTGTGGGGAGCAGCCGGCTGCCCTGGGCTCTCAGAATCACCGCTCCCAGCTCGTGCTGTCCTTGCCGGGCCTGATTTTTCTCCCCACCCCTTCTGTGTCCTTGACAGGGTGTATGGCGGCTCAGATGAGCTTTCGGATGACATCACTCAGCAGCAGTTACTGCCCGGCGTCAAGTAAGGCCCTTCTGCCTGGGAGAACATGTACTTGGTGGAGGGGGGGATAGAAGGTTGTCTAAGACCAGGGTGCATGAAGGGTAGAGCAGGGTACAGGCTGTAGCATCAGAGGAACCAGATGGGATGAGAAGAAGGTACCAAGTGTCACACTATTGGGAGTGGCTCACATCCATGAGTGCCTACCACAGGGCAGGCTGTCAAACAGGCAAACCGGGGCTGTGTTCTGTAATTAGATTTCACCAAGTCCATGGCAAATGTTGACTCCTGGTGACTCTCTGTCTCCCCAAGGAGACACAGACAGTCCCCTTCAAATGCTCCAGCCTATCTTGCCACTCAAACTGGCCATTGTGATTAAAATGGTCACTTATGCCAAAAGCCACATCACATTGCCTCTAATGCCAAGAAACCAGTCACTTACCCCAGATCGATTGGAACCCCAGGACTTACACCACAGACAGCGCTCTCAGCCAATTCTGTTGTAAAATAACTAAAGGTTTATTAGCTAGGAAAAGGAAATGAGTTGTTGAGAGGTTAAAGCAGGTAAAATACATGCACAGGTGAGTCACCGTTTGTAATTCTGAAGGGTGGCAGCAATGTGATAATCTGCCGGTATCCCAAAAGTCTTTTCAGAGTTCCCAGCTTCTCTGGGGATCTCTGCTTTGCATCTGGTTCACTTCCCTGTAAGGAGGCAGCTCAGAGATGAAGGATTTTTTTTAATCCGTGCGTACAGCTGCTTCTCACAGGAAAGCTGACAGGATCACTACCCACGTGAGTTTTCCTTTGATGACGGAGAGTGTGGCACACATTTTGAGCCTTCGACCTCCGATTGCTGCACACTATGACCGCTTGCTTTGACATTAGCACTTTTCTGTTGAAGTTCTTCACTTGCATTCCACAAGGCTTCTTCCTCATTTGACTAGTTGTTTAGCAAGAGGGGTATACGCAGTGTAAATGTTTGCTACTACATAACAGGATACACATACGGGAAAATGCAAGAAACAGTCCATTGGTTTTAATGATGTTTAAACACCAGCTACACACTCCTACATTTGTTAGCACTTTGGTCTATATTAATACGCCACCAGCAACACATGTAACAAAGGTTATTTTGCAAACAGTCTTTCTTTTCTTTCCTTCCACTCAGGGATCCCAACCTCTGGACTGTGAAGTGTAAGGTACGTTCCAGCCAGCAGAGGGTGCTTTTTAAAATTGGTGATTGGCCCTGAAATCACCAATTCCAGCTGCCCCATGGCTGCCTTCGTTAGCAAATGCTGCCTCCTCTCTGAGCTGGAGTGTGGGGGCATCTCTCTGGCTATAGACATCTCTCACCATGGGCTCTCTTTTCTCCTCCCTCCCCCCTGCAGATCGGAGAGGAGCGTGCCACAGCCATAGCCCTGATGAGGAAGTTCATCGCCTACCAGTTCACAGACACGGTAAGACTGGGGGGCAGGAGGTTCCCTTGGCCCCCAGCTCCATTCAGGTTTGTGGGGTGTTGACCACAGAGCTTACTGAGGGATGGAAATGGGTCTTAGAGATGTGAATAGGAAACTGGTTACCTGGTAAGCATCACCCTTATCGAGTGATGCTTACTGGGTAATCGGTTAACCGGCGCCCAGGAGCAGCCTGTGGGGCCAGGAGCCAGAAACCCCATGGGCTGGGGGCTGCTCCAGCCAGGCTTCCGTTCCACTGGTTAACTGCTAAAACAGGATTTTACATCCCTGATGGGTCCCAGGGATCCTGACATGGGCCGGGCTTCCTGCTGTGGATCTGTTGAAAGGGGGGATTAGGCTGCAGTATGCCTGAGACCAGCCCCTGTATCTCACATAACTGCCCTCTCTGCCCATCCGCAGCCCCTGCAAATCAAGTCTGTGGTGGCCCCTGAGCACGTGAAGGGTTACATCTATGTGGAAGCCTACAAGCAGACCCACGTGAAGCAGGCCATCGAGGGAGTGGGCAACCTGCGGATGGGCTACTGGAACCAGCAGATGGTGCCCATCAAGGAGATGACGGATGTGCTGAAGGTGGTGAAGGAGGTGACCAACCTGAAGCCCAAGTCATGGGTCCGGCTGAAGAGAGGAATTTATAAGGATGACATTGCTCAGGTACGGGCGCTGGCCTTTTAAAGGGGTCCCTTTAATGCAAGCACCAGGAGGCTCTCAGCTAGGACAGGCTGTCATCGGAGTGCGGCAGCGTTGTGTTCAGTGGAGCTGGGTGCTGACAAACCTTGGCCTTGCTGGGCGAGGGCGTGTGGGCCGTAGAGGTGGGTTTGATTTCTGCTCTGTCCCCAGCTAGCATGACGGTGGACACCACAGGAGCCCCCACTGTCCTCCTGTCCTGAGAGCTGCTGTGAGTGAGGTTGGCCTTCTCTGATCTCTCCGTGACGCTCCCCCCTCCTCTCCTGAACTCATTTCGGCTTCCCTTCCAGGTGGATTACGTCGAGCCAAGTCAGAACCAGATCTCTCTGAAGATGATTCCACGGATCGATTTTGACCGGATCAAAGCACGCATGAGCCTGGTATGTTGGCTGGCGGGTTCCCTGAGCTCTGTTCTACTGAGTGCGCTGCCAGTGAAGAGTTTGTCCCACTGCTGCTTCAAGCCTGTTGATTCCCTGGGCCCCAACTCTGGCAGTTCTGCTTTGGTGGGCAGCCCTGTGGTGAGGTGTTGGCATCTGTGCGTAGTTACCCAGCTGATTACAGGGTGGCGCATTTCTGCACTGTGAAGCGTTACTCCAGTGCACCTTGCTGTGCCTACTGCCCTAGGAAAGATGGATTCTTCTTCCTCGCAGCCATGATCAGTAGAACTCTTCCATTATCCCCTCCAGAGAGGCAGGTGAATGCCTTTCCAGAGCAGCTGTTGCTGGCACCTGGTACCTCACGCTTACAGTCTGGTTGGGAGCCCTGACTCCCCACCCCCGTACAAGCCCAGTGGTGACTGTTTTTCTCCTCTTCAATTGCAGAAAGACTGGTTCGCCAAGCGGAAGAAGTTCAAAAGGCCCCCCCAGCGGCTCTTTGATGCTGAAAAGATCCGGTAAGTGGCTGGTATCTTGCTGGCAGAGTTCCCTCTAAGATTTTCCATCCTTGGGCGGGTTGAATCTTGTCATCCCCCCTAACTCCCGCAGTTTTCTTCCTATAGAGTCAATTGGTATCTGGCCCAGCCTACAAATAGGCATATGACGCCCGAGCCACACGTGGCCAGCCAGGGGGATAGGTCAGCCATGTCCGAGCTGCCTTTGCTGCAAGTCTTTGAGAACGCCATTCTGTATTGATGCATAACTGCTAAATATTATTTGCATGTACAGGCAGTCCCCGGGTTACATGGATCCGACTTACATCGGATCCCTACTTACAGATGGGGTGAGGCAACCCCGCACTAGCTGCTTCCCCCCAGCAGACCAGGGAGATGCGAAGCTAGCGCCCCCCCCCCCCCCAGCAGATCAGGGAGACGCGGAGCGGCTTTTCTCAGCAGACACCTCAGGTTGAGAATAAAGGACTGAGGGAAGTGAGGTGTGGGAGAATAAAACTGAGCTCTGGAGAAATGTTTGGCTAGAGTTTCCCCTACAATATGTACCAGTTCCGACTTACATACAAATTCAACTTAAGAACAAACCTACAGTCCCTATCTTGTACGTAAGCCGGGGACTTTCTGTATATTGTGTAGCGATTCTGATGATGGGTATCACCAGGGCTCGACAAATACGCTTATCTACTTGCCCGTGGCGAGTAGATTTCAGCCGGTCGCCCCGTTCACCGGCAGTCCGCGCATGCGCAGTGCGGGCCTCGCACGTGTGCGGTGCAGGGCTGGTGAGTGGTTTTCGCCGCGATTGTCGAGTCATGGGTATCACACATGCCACCCTTCAAACTTAGAGGATCTCTGTAAAACTCTCTGCACCCCCTGTGCCTTCTGCCCATGCACTGTGAGATGGTGATGATTTGTCACCTCTTGTCACATCTTTCTCCAGTTCCATCCATAAGCACACAGGGGCTTAGGCGAGTGGAAAGGGGCCCTGAACCATAGGGAGCCAGGAGATGGGTGAATTTGCCCTAGACTGGCAATCCAGACAGCTTCTGGTGAGACACGTAATCCTAGTCCTGACTTCCCCAGGCAACTGAGTGGAGCCACCATTCCCTGATCTCACTAGGGCTCTGCCATCCCGTTACAAAACAACCCGTCCCTCTTTGGAGGAGGCTGCCGCCCTGGGTACCTGACCCTCGAATGCTTCCCCTCTCTTCCCGCTTCAGCTCATTGGGGGGAGATGTTGCTTCCGATGGCGATTTCCTCATCTTTGAAGGCAATCGTTACAGTCGCAAGGGCTTCCTCTTCAAGAGCTTTGCCATGTCGGCAGTGGTGAGTGTCTGGCTCTGCAGAGAGGCTGCATGATTGGCTTCTTCTCAAGGTGGGGGAAGTTGGCCTGTCAAGGTGTGGCTTAGGGCTAGTCAGAAAATGAGGTTTTGGGGGTTCCTCTCCCTCTCAGAAAACTTCTTTTGGCAAAAATTCAAAATTGTTCTTGTCTGCAAATGTTGCTGTGATGGCTCATGGGACTTGTAGTTCTGGTGCCTAGTGCTCCTATTTCCCTCCGTGATCTAGCCTCCCTGGTTAGACTACTTCTCCCATGAGGCACCATGGGCTCCCCTCTTGGAGGTACACCATGGGAGTCCAGGGCCTCGGTGCACCATGGGAAATGTAGACTGGCTGGAGAGCCTGGTCCATAGACCAGAATCAGGAGGTGAGTTACCTGAGCTATATTTCCCACCAAGCTCCACAGCAGCAATCCACACTGGAATATTTTGGCTTTGGACACTTGGCTTTTAGTGGGGATTTTGAAATTTCCCGTGGCACACAGGTGCATCACACAGAACTGTCCGGTTAGTCGGAAACCCAATTTTCTGTTTAAAACCCCTCCCAAAACCAACCCAGTGTTGATGGAAAATTTTCAGTGTCCAACATGGGCTTGGCGGGGTCCTCCTATGCGTATGCGATGGCCTTGGTGTGGGATCCTCATGTGGACGTCTGACTGGGGGGACAGGTTGCTGAAATCCCCATCTACATGTGCTTGGGTGGGGGAGGGGTTGTGTGTGTGTTTGGAGAAGGTGGCAGTGAACCACATGATCCCCATCTGGGTGTCACTTGCATGCCAGACTCCCCGTGGATTGAGATGAACCACCCTCGGAGCAAAGCCCTGCTCTTATCCCTTGTTGTGCGGCAAGGCAGGGAGCCCGACCCCAGCATGCAGCAGGGAACCTCAGCTTGGAGGGAAGCTCTGCAGGCTCCATTTGGATTTCTGTCTCCCCTCCCCGAAATCTCTTCCTCTTTGTCCCCCAGATCACGGAGGGAGTGAAGCCCACCCTGTCTGAGCTGGAGAAGTTTGAGGACCAGCCGGAAGGCATCGACCTGGAGGTGGTTACCGAAAGCACGGGTACGTAGCAATGACTCACGCGCATCAGAGGGTCCGTCTAGACCACGTGGATCGATGGGAGGGCTGGTCTTCACCTCTAGGTCTTGCTGTGGGCACCCCCTGTCTGGGGCGATGCTCTCCCCGCGAGTCACGGTGCTCTCCGTTGGGCAGGGAAGGAACGGGAGCACAACTTCCAACCTGGCGACAACGTGGAGGTGTGCGAGGGGGAGCTGATCAACTTGCAGGGCAAGATCCTGAGTGTGGATGGCAACAAAATCACCATCATGCCCAAGCACGAGGATCTCAAGGTACGGAATGGGTGGCCCTGGCCAGCACAGCCTCCCCGCTTGCATCCAGGGCCTTCGGCTGCCTAGGAGGATGGGAGAGAGCAAGGGGCAGCAGGTATGTGATGTTCCTGGCTGAACCTATAGGATCTTGGCAGCCTTTAGCACCTTCCCATTCCTGGGTGCTGTGTCCAGGGTCCCTGGCATCTCCAGGACTAGCCCAGGAATGTAAAACGATAGAGCCGCGAGCCCCGCAACAGGCAGTGCTGCCTGAATCCTGCTGTCAACCCCCTTCTGCCCGTCTCTTGCATCCTGCCCTGACCCTGTTCCCCCTCTGCCCAGGACATGCTGGAGTTCCCGGCTCAAGAGCTGCGCAAGTACTTCAAGATGGGCGACCACGTCAAGGTGATCGCGGGACGGTTCGAGGGCGACACGGGGTTGATTGTGCGGGTGGAGGAGAACTTTGTCATCCTCTTCTCGGACCTCACCATGCACGAGGTAAGCAGGGTGGCTGTGGCGCTCCCGGTGCCTGCCCTCTAACTGTGCCCTTCCGGAGCCACTTTCTCACTCGCTTGCCCATTCCAGCTCAAGGTGCTGCCTCGGGACTTGCAGCTCTGCTCCGAGACAGCCTCTGGCGTGGACGTGGGCGGGCAGCACGAGTGGGGAGAGCTGGTTCAGCTGGATCCCCAGACTGTCGGGGTTATCGTCCGCCTGGAGCGGGAAACCTTCCAGGTGGGTGTGTGTGGCTGTCTGCTTCCCTGATGCTGCCCACGCTGGGCAAGCCTGCACCAGACTCTCACTGGAGCGGCAGCGAGGCAGAGGGAGCTGCCGGCTTCTCTCGAGGTCGGCCTGGCCGCTGGGTTCTGCGGCAGGAGAGACCTGGCATTCGCACTGGATCACACTGAAGGTCTGGGCGGTCTGGCGGTCTCTGCTCTGGGCCCATCCCATTCCCTCCCGGCACTGTGCCCCCGCCAGGCCAGCAGCTGGGAGGGAGAGTTCCCTTTTGATCTCTTGGCTGCTTGCCTGCTCGCCTGCAAGCAGCATTCAGTGGCATGATTCATGGGATGGCAATGGGCCAACTGTAGCCTGTGCCTGGCTCGGGGCTGGAATTCCCCTTTCTCCTGGAGGTGGGTTCCTGCTTCGTCCTCCTTGGTCTGACGAGATTGCTCGGCTTCCAGGGCTGCTGAGTTTTTTCCCTAGGTCCTTTGCAACCCTAACTGCCTGGGTTCTGTTCTCTGTGACACACCAGCGGTCAGACTGGATCATCTGGGGTCCCTTCTGGGTTGGGGGTTGTTCTGGGGTCTTGGGCAGAAGCTCCCCCATAAGACTCCTATCTCCTGGCACTGTCTTTCAGCCATATCATAGGCTATAAGGTCAGGAGGGACCATTGTGATCATCTGGTTTGACCTGTTGACGTTGCAGACTCACCCGCCTGCTCCCGTAGCTCACCGTGGCCTCTGGCTGAGGTACTCAAGTCTTCAAGTTACAGTGAATTCACTGTCTACTCCAGTTCAACCCAGTAAATAACCTAGGCCCCATGCTGCCGAGGAAGGTGAACGGCCACCTGGGGCTCTGCCTGGAGGGAAAACTTCCCTTGTGAACCCCTCATGCCCCCTGCGCAGGTCCTGAACATGTACGGCAAAGTGGTGACCGTCAGGCACCAGGCTGTGACGCGGAAGAAGGACAATCGCTTCGCTGTGGCCCTGGACTCCGAGCAGAACAACATTCACGTCAAGGACATCGTTAAAGTCATCGATGGGCCACACTCGGTGAGCGGGCTGGGGCGGGGCTGAGCCTGTACGTGGTGAGCCTAAGATCTCAGCTGCACTTGCTGTGCCCCAGTGAGCGGAGGCCAGCCCCCGGCTGCCGGATCCTGTCACCGTGGATGGCGCTCTTGCTGCTGGAATGGGGCTGGACTGGATTGGTCCGTGAAGGGGAGAGATCCAGGGGGGAACTGGCAAGTCACTCGGAGCTGTCTTCCCTTGGAATCAGTGCTGACCCTGTCATGGGCCCCTGGGGGCATTCTCTCTCTAAATAGATACCCTGACCGTGGGGAGTCCTTAACCCCTTCCTTCCCCCCCCCCCCCCCCCCCCC